ATTTAAGTGACTTCTTGGTAGTCTTTATCCATTTATCCATTAAAGATTTGTAGAATTTTTTTCCTTAAAAGAAAAAAACAACGAATCTTAACTCTTCTGTATGTGTGACAAATACTTTCTCATTCTATTACTTGTCCTTTACCTTTCTTTATATGTATATTACTGTATAGTCTTAAATGTGTAATATGGTCATGTTGTCAATATTTTCCTCTAGAGCATCAGGGTTTGAATATTTTACTTCAGGGTAAGAAAAATATTACTTTATATATTCTATGACTACTCTTTAGATTCTACATACCGGTTTTTAACTCACCTGGATATTTCTTGTATAATGTGTGAAATAGGTCTCTCTGTTTGCTGTATTTCAAGGAATAGTGGTCCATGCACCTTATTTGTTGAATAAGCCTTATTTGACCAATTGATTTGAAAGATCAATTAAATCCTATAGTATGTTGTTAGACGGATGTATGCATTTGTTACTAGAATGCTCATTCTATTTCATTGATCTACTTGATTCTTTCTGTGCTGGTATCATGTTGTTTTAATTGCTGAGACTTTATAATGGTTTTAAATTTTTAATAATTTCTCATTAACTTTGACAATAAAAAAATAAAATCACCCTGCATTTAAAAAGGAAAGGAGAGGAGAGAAAGAGAGAGAGACAGGAAGGAAGGATGGGAGGGAGGGAGGGAGGGAGGAAGGAAGGAAGGCAGGAAGGGAGAAAGGAAGGGAGGGAGGAAGGAAGATGGAACTCCTACCTTTTGTGACAACATGGATGGAACTGAAGAATATTATGCTAAGTGAAATAAGCGAGTTGGTGAAGGACAAATACAATATCATCTCAGCTATGAATGTACTCTATTCAACAAAATAAACTAACGAACAAAATAAACCACAGGCATGCAAACATGGAGCAGACGTAAAGCGATCAGAAGGGATGGGAAAAGAGGATCATGGTAGAAAGAGGGGGCAGGTACTGGACAAAGAATATGTATGAAGGACCCATGGACATGGACAACAGAGTGGAAATTAACTGTGGGGGCTGGAGGTCGGGGTGGGATGGGTGGAAGGGGGTAAAGGGGGAAAAATTGAGACAATTGTATTAGAATAAACATGATTTAACAATTTAACAGTAAGTAAATACTAAGAAAAAAGGAAGTATTTAAATTTAAAAAAAGACACTAAGGGCAATATCCTTTCAGTGGTTGTGCACCCCAAATGCGTGCTCTGCATCTAAGGATGAGTTGCCCTGGGACAAACGTCTTCCTTTGTGCCTGTGGCAGTTTGTTTCTAACCACCACCACCCCCTTGCCCACCAGCCCTTGGTCATCTCCATTCATCAACTCTTGTGTGGCCAATGACTGTAAGAAGAGACATCCAAGGTTTTCCTTTGTGCCCTTGCTTTAAGCTTCGTTAATCCAAGAGTGACCTGGGAAGACTAGGAGATGAGCACCATTGCATTGTGGGGAGAGGGGAGACCCTGGACAGAGACCATTAACCTTTGACTGTTCAGCTGTAAACCCAGGTTTCACTGGATGAGTATCAGGACGAGCCGGGAATACAGGCCTTGGGGCTTAGGAGAGGTGGAACTTGTTTTCTGAAAAAGGAGAAGCCATGTGTCTTCTCTGAGACCACCACAGAGCCTGACATGTGGTGAAATAGCTCTTCTGCTTCCTCTAATGTCGGTGCTGACACATGGATGGGGGTGATGGGTACCAAGCTACAACATCCTCTTTCTCAGCGTGGCCTCCGGGCTCTGTCCCCTCGACCCTCTGCTCGGCTTCGGTGGGGCAGGAACATCACAGTGATTCTGAAACTCACTGCCCCGCTCTTCCCTCTTCCGTGGCGATGGGAAGGGAATCACATTTTCATTATAATCATTCCGTACTTTTAGAATGACCCTTGGATTTCACTTTAAACTCCCCCTAGTCAGTCTCCTCATCACTATATTATTAATTTATTACTTATTCATAGATATTCTACAACTCAGTCTTAGTAACTAAGTCATCAAAATCAGTGGTTGACTATTAATAATATGTCACCCTCATTATCCTACTCATTTGTGTGGCATCAATCTTTTCTTTATTAATAAATAATCTTAAGCATTAGTGACCAATTAAGCAATTATTAATCACTTAATGAATTTATTGGTTATGTAAATGATTGTTGACTGTCTTTTATGAGCACAAGCAGTATGAGAAGTGCTGATGATTCAACCAGGAGAAGACGTGACTTGCAATTCCGTGGGACATCTTATTAGCTTCACTTCTATCGTCTACAAATTCATGACAACAAATTGTGAAACGAACTCCTTAGCCAATCGGAGACATTCATTTATTTAGGCAGGGAAAGGCATTGAATGTGTAGGTAGCATACAATTGCTAGGAAATCAAAACAGTCACTTCCTTGAAGGTCTTGACACCAGGTGAGGAGACTAGGCTGGGATCTGCAGGTGAAGGGGGTTCTGGGGACTGGGAGTCCAGGAGGCAGTCCAGGGGAGATGGCAGTGGAAGTTCCCCCAGAGAGGCAGATTCAAATCGGACACCTGCTGTGAAATGGGAGGTCATGGCGCAGGGACTTCTCAGTAGGACACCTGGGGACGTGGAGTTCACTACAAGAACCTGTTTCACCAGAGGAGAAAGGTCCTTGTACTGAGCCTCAAGCACATTCACGTTCTGAAAAGTACCTTGGATGCTGAGAATGGAGGGCGTCACCAATCTGTGTGTGGCTCTCCATTTTCTTGTCGTTGTGTCTCCCATCACTTAAAAATATCGTCATCACCATCTTTATTGTTAAAATAATACCCTGTGGTCTCCAGCAGATTCTTTTCCTACTAAAATGTTCATCGTTGACCGTGCCATTGCGTTAAATAATCAATTACTTCTAGAAGCCGTCAAGCACCTGACATCTGCCCAAGTGGAACCTTAAGGCGGTGAGGTGACGAACGGAGATGGCTTGGGTCCCTGTACCCGCGCTGCGGCTCTTTCCCTAGCTCTGCGATTGTCGAATGGTGCAGACATTTGAGCCACACAGTTGTGCAGTAGGAGATATGATGGCGGCGAGGCCGGGCGGAAGGCCCTGGAAATGCCCTTTCATACCATCATGGTGAAGCGAAAGCAATTCTGCACCCTCAGGAGGACCACATGGATTCAGGCCACCACCAAGGACCTGAGAGACACAGGGACCACGGCGCCATCCGCATCCCCACGTGGCTCCCCCACGTGAGGTGGGCTCGTGCAGAAGTCAAATGGTCCTTGAAGACCAGCTGTGGGATCTTGCATGTCAGGTGGTGGATTCAACTGGTGCTTCTGCTTCACCTAAGGCATGTTGAGATATCCCATCCATGACGAACACTCCCTGCTCCATCGTACCCTCTTACAAATGAGGAGTAACCCCAAGTCCTGATCCACCTTCTTGGGAATTAGGAGACAACATATTCCTCCTTGGGCACATCACCTCTGCCCAGTGGGGCAAGAGCAAGAGATGTGTGTGCACCAGGTCCAGGCTGCGGAGAGGCTGTCCTGGGTGACTCAGGGGATCCTGTGGTGTTTGGATCATTGTGGTAGATGAGGTCATTGTAACGTGTCCCAGTGGGGAACTACTGCTGAATTACAACACAGACATTTAATGCCGCACTGTTCATTTCCGAACAGAACTACTCTTGTTTCTGAAACTGCATCTGGCTTGTCCCTGGCCTGTAGTAAAGACTGTCTTGGCCACGTCGCCATCAGGCATGAAATGCCCAGCGTGGGATCAATGTTGGTATGAGCACACCTCTACCAGGACAGGCCCAGCGCTCTGTCCTCACTAAACTGAAGTGGTGTGTGTGAGATGCGGCTAAAGACGTCTCTGAAGGACTTCCGGTCAAGATGGTGGCATAGGGAAACACCACTCACCTCCTCGCACAACCACATCAAAATTACAACGGAAATCTAGAACAACCTTCCCTCAGAACTGTCAGAAATCAAGTTGAATGGACGTCTGACAACTACGGAATTACAGACACCACATCCTTCCAGACTGGTAGGAGCAGCTGGTCCCTCACCCATGTGTGGTGGACAAGTATTTGGAGGGATTTCTTTGGAGGGAGGAGCCCCAGCCACAGCCTGGTCCCCCTAGCCCAGAGTTCTAGTGCCAGTGAGATAAGTCCCCACAACCTCTGGCTGAGAAAACCCACGGGGACTGAGTCGGTGGAAGAAACTTTTGGAGTCCCAGGCAGTTCCCCTAGCAGAACACACACAGACTTTTGTTGAGGATGGTGAGATGGGAGAGTCCAGGGTGACCCAGGTGGGCCCAATGCCATCGCAAGGTCCTCGGGAGTGAAAGAGGTGGGTGGAAGGATAGCTGGGGTGATGGGCCAGGGAAAGCAGTGGATAGCGTGATGAGATCACCGGCTGTGAAGAGGGAAGGATGAGGAGGCCCAGGATACAGGCAGCAGTGAAGACTGCAAGACAAAGGGATGCAGTCTGACCTCCAGAGCTGTGAGGTGTTAAGTCTGTGCTGCTTTAACCACTCATTTGTGGTGATTTGTCTTGGCAGCAAAAATAACTAATACACCTTTCTCCCCCCCACCCCTCTCTCTGTCTCTTGCTCTCTGTCCCTCTCTCATTTTTGGAGGTGGTGATGGAGTTTTGCTTTGTTTTTGCTAATCTGAAATTTGGAAGCATAGAGTGAAATCTCTGATATTTAGTGATGCATATCTGGGTGGGGCACATTGGAAATACTCCAGAAATATGTATGGATGCCTGGGGTCCATCCACTGGCAAAGGCGTTCATGCCGGTGAGACAGCAGTTTATGGGTCAAATGGGCCCCCAGATGGGCTTAGAAAGCCTGCAGAAGTCTGCTGGGAGCCCAGCCTCAGCGCTGAGAAAGTCACAGCCAGGCTGACGTGACAACCCCTTGGTGAGGAAGAGGAGGAACCTCTGGGGGGCCACGCCCTGGGTGTCTGTCCATCCTCAGGGCACCGTGGTTCCCTGTGTCGGCACAGCCAAGACAGAGAGGAGACGCCATGCCCGCCACGCTCACGGCCCTGCTCTGCCTCGGTGAGATGTGAGGGGGAGGGGAAGCCCTGTTCGGTGAGGACCCAAGGCTCAGGGGCCTCCCAGGGAGCAGGGCTCTGCTCAGGACTGAGGGCAAATCTCTCACGGAGACTCTCTTGCAGGGCTGAGCGTGGGCCTGAAGACCCCAGTGCAGGCAGGTGAGTCTGTCGCCAGCGGTCCTAGGTGTCCTCGTTCATGGGGACAAGGGGCCACGTCCTGGGCAGCACGTCCATGTTAATGGGTGGGGGACTTTGTGGAAATTTGGGACTGAGAGCTGGGAACTTGGAGTAGAGAATCTCCTGTGACCCAGACTCTGACTCCTTCCAGGGGCCCTCCTGAAACCCACCCTCTGGGCTGAGCCAGGCCCTGTGATCCCCTGGGGGAACCCAGTGACCATCTGGTGTCAGGGGACCCTGCAGGCCCAGGATTACCATCTTCGTAAAGAGGGAAACCAAGTCCCCTGGGAAACACAGATGTTACTGGATTCAGAGGACAAGGCCAAGTTCTCTATCACAGAAATGGCAGAGACTTCTGCAGGGATATATTACTGTTGCTGTTGGACCCGCACTGGGTGGTCAGAGCACAGTGACCCCCTGGAGCTGGTGGTGACAGGTAGGAGGACACTCAGGGGTCCCTGCCTCAAGCTCTGCCCTCAGGGAGGGGGATGCTCTCAGGGTGTCTCCCCCTCACAGCCCAGCCTTGGGGGACGTGAGGAGGGTTGAACCCCATTTACACACTGCCTCCTTCTCTTCTAGGGGTCTACAGTAAACCCAGCCTCTCAGCCCTGCCCAGCCCTGTCGTGACCTCAGGAGGGAATGTGACCCTCCAGTGTGGCTCACAGGAAGGCTTTGACAGGTTCATTCTGACAAAGGAAGGAAAACGCAGGCTCTCCAGGACTCTGGACTCACAGCCACACCCCAGTGGGCAGTCCCAGGCCCTGTTCCCTGTGGGCCCCGTGACCCCCAGACACCGGTGGAGGCTCAGATGTTACGGCTGTTACAGGAAGAGCCCCCAAGTGTGGTCACAGCCCAGTGATGCCCTGGAGCTCCTGGTGCCAGGTAAAAAGTCTCTTTTTGACTCTCTTGATGTTTATGAACGAGATCAATTTGGAATCTTGGGAGGTGGCCCATGTGAGAGGTGGGGAGAGGGACGCACATGGGTTCCTGGGCCAGAGACACAGAGAGAGACAGTGGGACCTGGGGCGAGGCCAGGGGCAGCCCCTGTCACTCACGTCTGGTCCCTGCCGGAGGCTCAGGGAACCCCTCCCTCCTGACCCAGCAGGGCCCCATCGTGGCCGCTGGACAGAACCTGACCCTCCAGTGCCGATCGGACCTCGGCTATGACAGGTTCGCTCTGTCCGAGGAGGGGGCACAGGACCCACCCCCAGAGCACTGCCCTGCAGCCCCAGGCAGGGCTCTCTCAGGCCGACTTCCCCCTGGACACGGTGCGCGGCTCCCACGGGGGCCGGTACAGGTGCTATGGGGGACACAGCCTCTCCTCCGAGTGGTCGGCCCCCAGGACCTGCTGGATATCCTGGTGGCAGGTGAGGAGCCAGAGGGTTCAGTCAGGGGCCCAGAGTCTGGTCAGGCCCTGCTGGGGGTCTCAGGTGGTGATGGCCAGGACAAGGGGCGTGGGGTCCCCAGGGAGGGAGAGGCAGAGAGACAGTGGCTGGGTGAAGAGAGGAGGAGACACAGATAAATACAGAGATAGACAGAGAGGAGGGTCCTCAGAAAGGGGCCTGGTGACTCTCAGGTCAGAACTAGGTGGGCGGCAGCTCCTTATCCATCCCCCTCTCTCTAGGATGGCTCCCTGACAGACCCTCCCTCTCGGTGCAGCCGGGCCCCACGGTGGCCTCAGGAGAGAAGGTGACCCTGCTGTGTCAGTCACGGAGCCCAAGGGACACTTTCCTTCTGACCAAGGAGTGGACAGCTGATCCTCCGCTGCGTCGTAGATCACAGCCCCGAGCTCAGCAGCACCAGGCAGAGTTCACCATGGGGCCTGTGACCTCAGCCCACGGGGGCACCTACAGGTGCTACAGCGCAAACCACAGCAGCCCCTACCTGCTGTCACAGCCCAGTGACCCCCTGGAGCTCCTGGTGTCAGGTGAGGCCCCTGACCCTGACCTTCTTTGCTCTTAGCTCAGCCCCTTATGGGCTAAAACTTATGGGCTAAAGGGGAAGTGAGAATGCTCTTGAGATCATCACCAAGAAGACATCTCTCCCTCGGACCCTGCTACCCCTGTCCACCCCTCACTTACTCGTCTTAGGAAGGTGGTAGGCGCGCAGAGGGGGTGTCTTGGGGGGGGCATGGAACAGATGCAGGAGAAGATTCTGAGTGATATTCAGACTCCAGAGTTGGTCCCAGATCCTCACCCCCTTCTGCCCTCATTCCCAGGACCCTCTGGAGGCCCCAGACTATCAACCACAGGACCCAATGCCAAAGCTGGTGGGTCCCTGAGACCTCTGCTCAGAGGGAGCACAGAGCAGCCCAGGGAAGTTCTGAGGGTCCAGCCGGGGGTCTTGTGTCCCCCAGACAGTTCAGTAGGGGTGAGTGTCCTGGGGGCTGGGAGTCAGGCTGAGATGCTGGAAGCTCAGGACCCCCAGGGCTGTGAGGCTGGCCGGTGATGGGGGGTGGTCAGGGCAGAGGGACATGTTAGGCCCCTGGATGGAGGAAGAGACAGGCTCCAGTCGGGAGAATGCAGCCCCACCCCCAACGTGAATTTCCAGGAGGCTCTGAGTTCGGCCCCTCCCCCCATAGGCAGTAGGGGAGGGTCTCTGTGGGGCCCAGGTGGGTGTGTCCTTGGGGGGCGTTCATGCTCCTCTGGAGGCCCTGACTGGGGCATGCTGTCCTCTGTGTGAGCCTCCGTGTCTCCAAGTGTGAAGTCAGAGACTCGTGGCCCAGGTCTTGGATTCTTTGACTTCAGCCTCTGACCTCCTGGCAAGAGGGGCCTCACAGGGAAGCCCCCCAGGACGTGATGTTATGGGGACTGTCACCATACAGGGAGGGGCAGGCAGGAGCTCTGCTCTCAGGAAATCTCATCTTGGTCTCCACCAGGGACTGAGACGCCAGACAGGTTACTGGGGTCTTGGCTGCAGGGGGAGCCCCGTGAGGGCGGGTGGGAGAGGGGAGCGCAAGGGCTCCTGACCAGAGACACACAGAGACAGGCAGTGAGACCTGGGGGCCGCGTCAGGAGGAGGTGGGCAGCAGCCTCTCACCCGCCCTCCTCTCTCTAGGACGGCCCCCTGGCAGACCTCCCCAAAGGGTGCAGCAAGGCCCCACGGTGGCCTCAGGAGAGGTGACCCTGCTGTGTCAGTCACGGAGTCCGAAGGACGCTATCCTGTCCAAGGAGTGGGCAGCCCATCCCTGTGCCCCTGTGCATGAGAGAAACATAGTGGGCTGGGTCAAAAGGGGCCCCATTCTCCATGGGGCCTGTGACCTCTGCCCACGGGGGCACCCACAGGTGTTGCAGCACACATGACAGCAGCCCCTTCCTGCTGTCACAGCCCAGTGACCACCTGGGGGTCCTGGTCTCAGGTGACCGCACTGTTCCTCCTGGACGCTCAGCACACCCTGGGAACCAACCTCTCGTCCATGGACCCAGGGCTCTCAAGTGAGGGTCAAGTCAAGACTCGAATTTTCAGGAGACTAAGTTTACCTTGTGCTATTGCCCCCAGAATGGTGAGAGACCAACAAAAACCTAAACTCAATTGTTTGAGCAGGTCCGTCCTCAGTTTGTAGCATGGGTTGTGGCTGAACCCTTTGGTTTTTCTCACCCAAAAGCTAAGTCTATGTGTGAGGAAATCAGAGCCAGGAGCATAGTGCCCTCACCCAGAGTGGTAGAAGGTACCAGGGAGAAAGGAGAGGAAGATGTTTGCGAGCAGAAAGATATAAGGCAGAGCCTTGAGTCAATGCTGGCCAGGTAGGCTTCCAGCTCCTCACCCTCTCTGATTTCCTGATTCCCAGGGGATGCTGTTACTATCACCCCATCAGTGCAGACCTCGAATTCCACAACTGGTAAGTTACCACACCTTTTGTGCTTGGGGACTGGGATGTTCAAGGGGTCAGGGTTCCAAACATCGGCTCTGGCTGCTGTTTTGAGTGTGACCTGCCTTACCCACCATGACCTTTCCCCCCTGTCCGCAGGCACTCCACGCCCAGATTACACGGTGGAGAATCTCATCCGCATAGGTCTGTCTGGATTGATTCTGGTGGTGCTCGGGGTTTTGGGGTTTCAGGCATGCACAAGAAGGGTCCCTGAAGGTAAACTGAGGATGTAGCACATGCGAGCCTCAGGATTTGTAACAGACACTTAAGATAAAATCTCACATGCAAGGTGTGCTGACAAAGAAGGTTCTAAAACTTGGAGCCACAGACAGTGTGAACTTCGTGCTGAGGACGTCAGAAATCGACACGGCACGGTTGGTCCTGGAGGCAATGACAGGAGCTGCAAGTTTCTCTCAGGAAAGCCTCCTCCATCATGAACGTGACCCTTGCCTTGCCATCTCATCAATTTTGGCGTGTCTAATTCCACCATCTCAATGACGCAATGCTACATGCACATGAAGAGATTGTGTCCCTACTCCCCTCTGTCTCATGCTCTGTTCTTACATTGTGTTGCAAATATCTCCCTTATAACATCCATATCCTCCGGTGTGAGTGCTCTGTGCCTCAAAGTGCAGAAACTCAGGCAGCATGGTTGAGTAACTAAGTCAATGGAGTGTAATGTACGTCGAGCTCATAAAGTGCGAGCTCAGAATGCTACCCCAGCATCATGTCCGGATTCTGCAGGCTCCTTTCTCTTAGCCAGGAGCTTCCCCTGTGGCTCCTCCTGCAACCTCTGCACTTGGAGTCCACACTCTCCTGCATGGCCTCATGCAAGTGACAGCTCGTCTGTGAGCCCGTAGTGCCTTCTCGTGTGACTGGCAGCAATGATGGCTCCTTCAGGGCTGTGATGCCAGTTAAATGAGATGGTGAGTTCTGCGATGATAAACACATCTTTGGGTGTCGTTTTGTTTATTTTCATTTTGATAGTAGATGTTGGAGAGACTGTAGAGCAATTAGCGTCTCACATGCTTCTTGGTATGTGTACCAATGGATTCAGCCAGTTTGGGGGACTTTCTGGTTCAGGGCAAGCAATGTGCAGCTATGATAAGCAGTCTTACACCTAGAGATATGCCCCCAGAGAACCCCTTGCACGCCTGCCCAAAGACACATGTGTGGAAAATAGGAGAAGAGCATAGTTCCCATAACATGAAAAATACCGTCGAGAGTTCTCAGCACAACTTCAGGGCACAACAGCAGGAAAGTATCACAATAGGCTTTACACTGGAACCCATAGGGGAAATGTCAGATTGTCTGAATCTTCAACCCTTGTCCAGGTCCAGAGAGGAGTCCAGGAATGTGATTGGACATTTAACCCCAGAGGAGATGGGCTTGCATGTGATGGGTTTCTGGCCTTTTACCCCACATATGGAGGGCCACTATTACAGCGTGACCAAACACTTCACCGCCGTAGTCTGATGTAGTGTAATGAAACCCAGATGCATTTGTATGCTTTGTGGATCTCTGAGAAAGGTCCTTAAGTTCTGTATCTCATGTCCAGCAGCATGAAACCGGGAGAGTAGGAGTGCCAAACCCATGAGCCTGCTGCGAGCTTCAAATGGGGACGTATCTAAACCACTTAGAGCAAAGGTCACCACCTTTCTCTGCAAAGGGCCAAATTCCCAATATTTTGGGGGACTTGGGCCTTTAAGATCTCTGTGTCAATGTCTCCATTCTACTAAGGCAATGTGAAAAGAAGATATGGAAAATCTGTAAATGGACAGTTGTCGTATTCCAATAAAGCTTTATTTATAGAAAGAATGAATGAGGGAGTAGACTTGGCCCATGTGCCTTAGTTTTCTTACCCTGAGCTTAGAAACAGTAGAGCCTGGTATATGGGTTTTCCTCAAGATATGTGAGTCACTACCATCATCATCATCATCATCATCAACACCATCAATACCAGCACTATTACACCATCCCAATCCAAGTTACCATCATATCCTCCTCACCACCAATATGACCATTTCCGGCACCACGATCCCTTCCACCTTCACTATCCTCACCATCATCATCATCACCATCGTCACTATCTTCACCATGATCATCACTATTATTATTACCACCATCATCACCGCCATAACCCTCATCACCACCAAAACCATCATCACCATCATCATAACCACCATCGCTGTCATGTTATCATGAGATCATCCTCATCCTCCTCCTCCTCATCATCAATATTATAGCCATGCTTTAACTTTGACATCGAATATGGAGCTTTCTTTAAAATGGGGGAGGTACAAATCTCCATATTTTTATCTCTTTATGACGGGAGAAAGTGCAAACCAAGACATAGCTTGGAGGAAAAGTAGAACTTTTCTTTTCAGACTTCCAAGTTCAGAAACTCTTTTTTAATTATTCTTTTTGTAATATATTAATTATAGGTGATGTCTAATATTATACCAGTATAGGTGCACAATGTAGTAATCAGACATTTATATACCTTGCAAAGTGATCACGTGGATATATCTATTACCCATCTCACACGATACATATTTATTACAATATTATTGACTATATTCCCTGTGTTATACTTTACATCCTCATGATTATTATCTACCTACCAATTTGTAGGTATTAATCCTTTCATTTCCTCACGAACTTCCTGAGCCTCTTTCCCATGAGGTGACTATGAATATGTTCTATACATCTATGAGTCTCTTTCTGTTTACTTCTTTATTTATTTTACTTTTAAAAAATTCCACGTACAAGTTAATAAGCTGCCATTGGTCTCAGAAACTCTTTTAACATGTAAAATAAAACAAGATATCCCTAGGTTTTGTAAATTGTAGTTTTGAAAAAACTATAATAAAACATAGGTAAATAATGGATTTTCTGGTACATGGAAAATATAGGCGTTGAAAGAAACACTATAAGCAAAAGATTCAAATTGGTGGAATAACGTGAAGGGTAGAGCAATTTAAACATCGATGTTTGGCTGCAGTGTGTGGGATAAAGAAGAAAGTGATGAGAGTTGAGGTGGGAGTTAGAAAGGAGAGGCTAACAGGTGTCTTGCAGGTGTCATGAGAGGCTCGATCTCATGCACAGGCGATGGGCAAGACCCAAGTGGAAAACTCTCACATTCAAAAATCAAGAGCAGTGTTCACTACCTCAAATTCAAAACTGGGCAAAAGAGATACTTTGATGCATCTAACATGATGGATTCTACTGTGCTAACGAGCCATGACTTGATATGCTGATGAGTTCCAGAATCCTGTCCAAAGTCTAAAGGCATGAAAAAGGGTGGTTAAGGGTGAAGATGGAGATCATTGAATCAAGACGGTGGAGGAGTGAGTGGAAATGACACTGACCTCCTCCCAGGAACAACCAGGAACTACAACAAAACTGTGAAGAAATCACCTGGAACAAACAACTAAACAATAGTGAGAGAGGAGCCTTGTAACCTCGGAGACAGAAGAATTGGCTTTAGTGCAACCTAACTGGTAAGGAGTGCGGTACAGCCTTGAGAAGGTGGGCGGGGTGCCCACGGGCAGCAGCATCAGGAGAATATTAAAACAGCCACTTGGATCACCCTGAGAAGAGTAGGGTCTAAACTGAAAGCGAGGACCTCAAGCCCACAGCACCAGAGCCCAAAAAGTGCACAGAAAACAACCAGCTGTGGAAAGCGGCAGGGTTGCACCTTGCAAGAGACAGGTGTCTGGAAGCACAAAGAACCTTTGAAAGGGTCAATGCAAAATTTTTATTCGCAGCCACTTACCCTGGTCTCCGGTAAAGGCGGGGGCAGAGTGGACTAGAGGCGCCTGAGGAGAGACTGGGGAGGGAGGGTTTGGGGAGAGAACTGAGAGAGGAGCCGGCGGGATCTCTGTGCTGACTCATCCCCCATGCGGCCGCAGCCATCTTGCTCAGGCAGAGACCACTCCCCCTGAGCAGCACCTATGTCAGAGGACCCAGTAGCTCCTCCCCGAGGAGGGATTCCGCCACACCTTGAGCTGCTTGAACCGTCAGCTGGGTCCAGAGTGAAAAGATGAACACCTGAAGGAGACAGCCACAAGCAGCAGATGGCTGGATGTCTCAAACAGACTGCCTAAGGTCAGACAGAGATGACATCTGACATCATGAGAGCAGATCCAGAAAGAAAAACAGCAATTCCTACCATACAAGTTCCCACCACAAAGTCAGGAAATCAAGACAGATCAATTTAAGAAGCAGAAGCCAAAGAAGATGAGTCTCACGAATAATGGGAAGACAAAGAAATATATCCCACTCGAAGGGAAAGGAGGAATCCCCACAAAGAGAACTACCTGAAATAGAGGCAAGTGAACACTCTGGTACTGAGTTCCAAACAACGGTTCTAAGGAAGCTCAATGAGCTCAGTGAGCTCAGAGAGAATTACCAAAACTACTGGGAAACTAGAGGAACTTACTGCGAACTATATCAGCATGAACAAGGACATACACACTATCAATAAGAGACCAGAGGAAAGGAAGAATACAATTTCTGAGTTGAAGAGCACAGGGGAAAGAATCAAAAGCAGGTTAGATGAAACTGAGGATTAAATCAGCAAGCTGGCGGACAAGGAAGAGAAAAGCTCCCCGAAAGAGCCAAAAAATGAGAAAGGACTCAAAAGTAAGGAAGAAGCATTTGGGGAAATGCAGGACAACCGAAACGTAATCATATCTGTATAATAGGGATACTAGAAAGAGAAGAGGATCCGAAAGGAATAGAGAACCTGCTTGAAAAGAAATGATGGAAAACTTCCCTAATTGGAGGAGAGAAAAAGTCACACAAGTTCAGGGTGCACAAAGGGTCCCATCCAAGAAGAACGCAATGAGGCCCACTCCAAGACACACCATTATTAAAATGGCAAATAGCAAAGACAAACAGAGAATCCTAAAGGCAGCAAGGGAGAAAGAGGTAGTAACATATGAGGGAGCCCCGATACAGGTAGCAGCTGACTTCTCAACTGAAACGCCGCCAGCTGAGTGGAAATATTCCAAGTCATGAAAAGCAAAGGCCTGCACCCAGGACTGCTCTACCCAGCAAGCCTCTCAGTTAAAGTGGAAGGCGAAGTAAGGAGTTTGCCAGACAAAGGAAGGCTAAAGAATACACCTCCACCAACCCGCACTGCAAAATATCCTAAAGAGACTGCTTTAAGAGGAAGAAAAAGAGTCTATGAATACCCAGTTCCTTTCACAGTTGCCAGTACTTGGTA